AGAGAAAAAAAATTTACATTTCTCACACTAAGGGAAATTCAGATTTTTTTTTATATTGCCTTATAAATTTAAGAACATAAATCTTATATATTAAATATATCAAGCTGGTCAAAGATGCTTTGTAATTCTGTAGAACATTCTTTGCTAATAGTCAATTTAAAAAATAGACTTACTATGAGGAAGTGGGCTTGAAGCTGGTTCACTACAAGTTGATGAAGCTGGAGATGGAGGAGGAGGCATCTCAATTCTGTCTGATTTGTTCTCACTTGCTTTACATCCATCTTTGGATTCACGGAACTCTGATTTTCTTTCACTAGAATGACAATTACGAAAAAAAAAAAACATACATAAAAGTAAAAACACAAAATTAAATAATATGGAATCCTAAAATTCTGACAAACATCAGAATGCTGCCAGGCCACAAAGGCTATAAATACAAACAACATGTAATACAGTTCAATATTCTGAAACACATATACAAATGACCACTAAAATAAACATTCAGCATACTATATATGAAGTTAAAAACACAAAATACAATTTATGTATAAATAGCCATAACAATTAAGATGCACCTGCTTGAATTTTAAAGTTCAGTTAAAAGTAAATAAAACAAATTATATTTATGTACAGAAAACTTAATTCCAAAAAGACTACACAGTATTGATCCATAAGTATTTAAAGAAGGCAATGGAAACCACTGGTGTTCAATCAACTAAGGTAATAATTTTTAAATGCAGTGTTTCAACAGTTATTACAAAAACCTGAGACTGGTCACAAGCTGCAAAAAATCATGGTTGTTTATAATTTGAGTTAGAACATCTAACACACTTTGCCAGCTTTAACTAAAATTTAATTAACCTTTTTTTTTCTACATGGTCTTGAGCAATTTCACAAGTGTGCTGGTCATGTCATTTTAAGTTATGTACAAAATTTAATTAAACTATATTACCAATAAACCTGGCATCAAAATGTAGCTTATAATTAAAATTTTTAATTTCTTAATATCAAAAGGTAATATTTAAAAAAATTCCCAATCTTCACTTCTCTTTGTCACGTGACAAACATGCACTCTTTATTTCTTCCTTTTAGATTACATAACTTTAATAATCTAACATCTATAGTATCTAACCATTTAAAAATATAAACTATAAATAATGAAAAGCTCAAATATAAAAGTTGAACTTTCTATCTTCTTGACTTGCTGAGATATCAATAAATTTGCCCAACCCACCAGACAAAACCCCTCCAATCTTTCAGTTTTCCTAAATAAGTATATAATTTTATCTGTAAATTGCTGATGGACATGTTTATAACCAATAGAAAAACCATATTCTATTCTAAATCAAGTTAAAACTGTCCTTTTGAATTTGGCAATTAAAGACAATAGTTGAGAGGAAATGCTTAATTTGTGTTTCATGAAAATGCTCTGAACAGTAATGGAATTTTGTTACCTATTTATAGCTTAATTAGAAAGTGATCTAAACTATAATATTTTTTGGAATATTCTCTTCTAGTGACCAATATATTTTTTGTATTCTTAAATACATATTTGAAAGGTGCATTAATTTTTATTTGGAAAATGAACTTAAAAGAAAAAACGTAAGCACTAGTTGGTCATGCAATTGAGTGCTAATGTTCACATAGTTCAAGACACGAAGTACCTTGAAATAAGAAAAATGGATTATTTGGTTCCTTTGTGATTTAAAGCTTTTTACAGATGCTTTGGTGGCACAAGATAGGCAATAAAACCATAAAATTACAATAAGGATTTTGAAATTTTAAAAGTTGAAATTGTGGAAATAATTAAAATGAAGATACGATTTAAATCTGATGCATTCAAAATAGAAGAAAAAAGGTATTATTAATTTTATTTCAAAATTTTCAACTTTTTGTTTCACTTTACACTGATGATTTTTCTACAGCTAGTGGTAAAGTAGGGAATAAAACAGTTATTATATAAAGTTTTTCTGAGAAAAAACAAATTGTTTGATATTCATTTAGCAGGTTATAGAGGTTATGCAAATGATATATATGAAAACTGTAAAATGAAAAGAAGAATTTTTATTCTTAGCATTAAAATCAAATTTCATTTACTGAGTCAGTAAAGGTTTTTTAAGTTAACAGACAAATCTTTAGTAAAAATACTATTGAAAAATCTGATTTTTTGTGTACAATAGACTTATAACGTTTACTAACACTGCCAAATTTAATGAAGATACACTTAACGTATTTTCCGGTGTATAAGATGATACCCTTTACTCTTAAAATAATTCCTGATTTTACTCCTCATTTTGTATACAGTTTCAAAGGCAGAGTTGCAGTTAATAGCATATTTTACGAAAACTATATTGTTCATTTTACTTTTGTTTGCTTTTTTGAGTAAGTTCATTGACATCATGCCACCTATTGCATTACAATAAATATTTGTAATTGTATCACATCTTGATTCTTCATAACCAGAAGTTATTTATCTCACCTGCTAGTTGAGATTTTTTATTTGAAATTTACTGATCTCATCTGTCATACTAAAATATTGCTAATATTATATAAAAAAAAGTTAGTTTCTGTAACATACACTAATTTTGTATGCATGTTTTTATAGTAGATCAGTATATCTTAAGGTTTAGTATTTTTTTGTAATAGAAAAGGAGTTCAACTGTGATGAACATTTTGTAGAGTTGTTTATTATATGTTTGTGACTTAAGTTGTGCTGCATTGAGCTGTCTGTAGCATTCAAAGAGCATAAAAAAACACACTTCTGGTTTTATTTATTACCTCAGAGTGCAGGTTAGCACAGTTTAAAAATAACTTCTAAGAATTTCTTTATAAAAGTAACATCCTAGTCTTGCTTGATAATAGAGGTCATCTTATACACCGAATCTCAAAGAAATCTGCTCAAAAAACCCAAGTTTGTCTTATACATGAGCTCGTCTTATATACCGGCAAATACAGTAGTACATTTAGTAAAAAATAGTATGTATTGTTTTACACTCAAACTGAAAAGCCCATATGAATAGTATTTACCATAAAGAGACAATACTGTTTAATATTATAGTTACATCAACTACATGACACTATTTACAACTCAGTTGTGTTTGTTTTAGAAATTTAAGAAAAACTACATAAGGGCTATATGCACAAACTATACTTAATTTGTGCTAATAGATTATAGATAAGGCAGCCAGCCAAAAAGCACCCACTGCCAACTCTTATCAAATATTGGAATTTTATAGTCACTTTTATAAAAGCACTCACAGTCCCAAAGCGTGCAGCACATATTTTGCAGCAAAGAGCAGTTAGCCATGAACCCTCAGATTCATAGACCAGTACATTAACCACTAGACCATGCCCATTCCATTTATGATTAATATGACCAACTTATAAAAATCTTTAATATCTGAGACCAGCTAAATATCAACAATAAAATTTATAAAGATCTAAAATTGAAGTTACATCAACTATACAAGTTAGGAATATATGAGACTGTTGTTAAACAAAGTACAAATGTCACATAATTGAAGTAAAAAATCATCTATTATTCATGACAACGTGTCATTCATATTTGTTCAATTGAAAAAATTATGACTGTTTATCATTAATGTTATACCAAGCATAAAATTTATAAATATCAATCCATGAATGTCAGCCTTTATGATAATAATAAATGTGAGGGTACCCAAACGATGAACCAATTTACTTTAATCATTACAAATGTTTGTTTCACAGCATTGCATATTCCTATTTTGAACAGTATATTTACTATGCTGATTTTCAGTTCTGATCTGTGTAGGTAGGTTGCTTTAACTCTCTCGCCATGGAATCAGTCAAATTAACTGAGTTTGTAACCAGTGTTCCCTCTACACTGCGCAGCTGCACAACAACTAATCAAATGCCGTCCACTTAATTATTCCAGCCGTGCACAATCTCGGTGATAGTGAGCAGTCTCAACACGTTGAAGACCTTAATGACCCTGGCAGACAATAGGCCTAAAACTCAAATAACCAATTGGTAGCATTGCAAAGTGGCCTAATGATTCAATAGTGTTGATGGTCTAAAAATACTACCCCCACCCTCAAAAAAACAGAAAAAAACTGTAAGCGCATATCTGTGCATTGCCTTGATAGTGGTGCACAAGAAAAAATTCATTCTGCACATGGATTGAAAAAATTAGAGGGAACATTGTAACCATTTCATACTCATTATAGTTTCCATGCTATAACTTTTAATATAATATGTGTATCTTCATAAAATTTGGCAGACTTTCAATAAACATTACAATTCTTTTGTAGACAACAATTCAGATTTTTTAATGAAGTATTTTTACTAAAGATTTGCCTGTGAATATATCAAATCTTTTTTTATAATAGTCCAAGTGTAAAATGACCAACCTCATAACCACCAAAATAAAAAAATCAAAATAAATCTAAATTACAATTTTTCTTTCTAGAATGACTTCCAATTGTAACATGAAACTACATTTGTTCATCCTTAATAGATTTACACTCCTAACAGTATATATCTATTTATACTTAACTTTTATTGTTTTATTGTCCTTTGGACCATGTCTAACTGATTTTAATGCCATACAAGTTGTAAATCACATGGCAAATGTGTATTTCATGTTACTCTATTGAATTACACAATGCACAAGCTATTTATGAGTTGCTCTTGAGCCTACCTCACGAAAATGTTTTATAATTAATATTCTTTATGAAAATTATGCTTTGCCTGAGCATTAATGACATTATAATAAGTAATTGATGTTAAAATTTCATACTTCTTGGGGTGGTAAATAAATTAGATGGAATGCCTAGATAGAAAATGTCAATTCTCATACTAGGGGAAATTCAGCATTGTTTTTAAATATCAGGACATTTACTCTTGATATTATATTTGCAGTTTTGTTATGAATACCTGACATAAAAAACTTAAAACAATATTATAAAAAAAGAAAAACAGAAAGACACATTTTCATAAAAGCTTGTAACCTCACATTATATATTCAAGAAAAATACAGGGAGATATTTTTATCACAGCATAAGACACCACTCTATATCTCACCTGCCACCCTGTGGAAGAAGACGAAAGTGACAAACATCTGTCAAGTTCCAAGCTGCTGATACTAACTGTCCAACTCTGGGAACACCACCAGCTGTAGTAAAAGCCAAGGCACCTGGGTGATACATTGGACTGTTTCTCATGCACACCTGTAGAAAAAGAATGTAAAAGCTATTAGCAAAATAACATTATCAACTGAAAAGTCACTTCCAATCTTAATAAAAATTTGTCACACATAACATCTGTAATACTTTTTTGATTCTTAAAGATGTTCCAGTTAACTCATTTTTCACACATTAATTGGAGAAAACTTATGAAAGTAATAAAATGTGGCCTTCATCTATTCAAGACCAAATACAGTTTAATTTTGGTGACACACTAATACTCTGCAAATAATTTTTAGGAAACTCTGCAAAGTTAAATCTAGAATTTTTTGTAATATCATACAAATGCCATATAAATCAAGGTTCCATCTAGATCTTCACAAACTAGGTTATTTTTGATTCACAGATAAAATGACTTTCTATATACATCACAACATTTTCTTATTTGCTTGAACCCTTTGAGGCAAGGTAAAAACAACCATTGCTACAACTTAAGATTCATCAATTACCAATTTCTTTCTTATCAGTACTCAACAGTGTAAAAAAAAAAAAATAGTCAACTCTCAACCATGATATAATAGCACAAAGTAAAAATATTCCCTTTTGATTACACATTAAAAATTAGAGTTAATGAATTAAACATTACCATGGCATTAAATGGTTAAAAGCACCAGTAACCATGTAGCAATGACTGTAAGACAAAAAAAATATCTTGCTAGTGAAAGATTATATGACAGTTACATTACATAATTAATCCTACCATGACCAAAGAATAACTTTTAGGTGCAAGTGCACACCTGCATATAAAAATTTCAAAATTGAAGTAAAATAATAATTCTAACTAGCTTTGTACAATTTCAGAATTGATATTTTGTAATTTTTCAACCATATTTCATATAATTTGCAAAGAAAATTAAAAAATTATACCAACTTTCATATTTGCTTAACTCTGCCTAGTCTCTCCTATAAAAATTGCAATTATGACTTTTTTTTTTAGAAAATTTCTACACATTATGGAGTTTTAGTTTATATTTGCTACAAAACTATCATTCCTTGATAATATAACCATCCATGTTTTTTTCTCATGTGATTTTTCTTTCTGGATTTTTCTTTCATTTTATTACTACAAGCTTCATTTCCATACCTTTTACAGTGTCACAGCATGTGGTCTAAACAATATCTAATGAAGAACACTTTAGAAAATAGCTTTCTCTACATTTAAATACATATGGACAGAGAGTTTTAAAAACTATATCAAGGTAGAGTAAATAAAGTGGTTTGGACACTAATTTAAGGTTTCATGAGAAAGTGGCTAAATGGATTTCCTGCAAGGATAAACAAAAGAATCTAAGGAGAAGTTTAGAAGATTTAGGAATAAACCATATGTTTAGAAATTGTTTCAGTTTTCTTTAGACATTCTTTTTGTTCTTGAAACCATTTTCATGTTAAATAACATCTGTTTGAAAGCTACAGAAGTTTTCTTATATTACAAAACATTAGTTAAGCTTACTCGAGTAGCAAGTAAGAGAGGTGACAGAACAATATTCCAATCTCTCAATTCATTATTTACTTAATGTCTTTATTAAGCTTATATTCCAACAGCACCCACAAATAAAAGAACATATTTGATTGATGACTTTTGTAAATTGTGTCCAAGAAATTTTTAGACAATGTTTTGAGCTGCTAGCACAGATCTTCATCATGTACTATTTCTAGCAATTTTATAGTATTTAGTGGTTTAATTAACTGGCCAACTAACCTTACCTATTTGACTGAATAAAAGTCAATATAACTAGTCATGATCTGTGAAGTCAGTGGTTGAATAATTAAATATCAAAATTTGGCTATCTAACTGATAAAAAAAACCTCAAATACTTAGTTAGCCAACCTGGATAATCACTGTAATTTCTGAAGACAGTGATTAATTAATTCAAATAAATAAAGAATGGAAACAATCAACCCAGTAACTAACCTGAACACCAGCTGTGATTTCTGAAGACAAGGTAGCACTCTTGTGTTTCTTTGTTTTGGTTCTAACTTTTTCCCACAACTTTTTTCGCTGACTGAATGGAGCCACACCCCTGAATTCAAAAACAGTTTACTTACTTTATATTTAATACAAATCAAACAAATTCTTTAAACATATTCAACAGCACTTGTTGCTTAATACATCACAAGTAACAAAATATTCAGAAACTAGCATTACATTTAAATAATTTGATATTACTACTAACATTTTTATTCACTAAGTCAGCATGTCAGAGTTAAACTTGGCATTGAAAAAAAATATCCCAATATTAGACTGAATTCAGACACCTAACTTACCATTATTAAACATATCCTGACTACAGACACCTTACAAACTTCATTAAACATATCCTGACTACATACATTTAACTTTATAACAACTTTCCATCATTAACCCTTTTGCAACAGGCTTGTGTATTTTACACAACCTCCTCCACCATGTAACACAATAACTCTCAAACTCGGTAAAAGTGCTTAATGTATCTTTATAAAATTTGACAAGCTAACAGTAAATGTTACATGTCTTTTGTAGACAAAATATCAGAATTTCCAATTAAGTACTTTTGCTAAAAATTCATTTCTAAATATACAGAGTCAGTGTTCAATGCTCTGAGTGAAAAGTGATTTTCATGTTAAGATTAAAAATACATTTCTTCATATGAAAATTTTCAAATTTCATTTATTTAATCTCTAAAAACCTCCTAAATAAATATAATTTGTTTCTCCCCAGAAAAACTATATTTTATCTACCATAGCTTCATACAGGGTTGATCATTTCAACAGACCTTGTAACCACCATAAAAATTAGGAAATTATTAAATTACCCTTGTTTCTTTCCAGAATGACTGCAAATTGTAACAGAAAACCATGATTGTTTATCCTAAATAGCTTAAAGCTCATAACAGTATAGATCTACTTAAAACTTAATTTTAGTGTTTTATTGATCTTTGAACTGTGTATAATGAATAACTCCACTACACAAGTTGTAAATCACTCAGCAAACACACAGCTCAGTTACTGCATTGAATGAAATAACACACGAGCTGCTTGCAAATATACAACGTGAAAAATTTGTATTATTAGTGATATTTTCATCATCTTACCTAATAAGATTTTAATTTTTACATTAATAAAGAAATAATACACAAGAAAAACAAGAAATATAGTACTTAAGTGAGTCTTTTTTTTACTGTTATCTGTCAATGAAACAAACTTACTTTTTTTATACTAATGGTAACTACAACACTATATAATTTTTATTCAATTGTATAATGCACCTAAGAACACAAAGTAATATCATGCACAAAGGAAACAATGTACTATAATTATCCTAATTTTTCTGGCTTTCTAACTATGTAATAAAAGCATTTAACAATTCAGATAAGCTTGTTGATGTGATTCTCATAAGAAAAAAATTCAAACTGAATGATGAAATAGACAATTCCATGCACAGAAATTAATTTAATATAATAAATCATTTGATAGACTGAAACGTTGGTTTTCTATTGGTTATACATAATATAAAACATCAGAGAAAATTATTAAAACTATTAGCAACTTACCACCATTAAACATCTACCAACTAAAGACACCTAACCATGTTATCTACCATCATTAATCCTTTTGCTACTACATCCCCAAATTTTAAGGACCTAATGTCCAAAAGTAAAACTAGTGGATGAAATTGTTTGAAAAATGACAAGAACTTTCCTAAAAGCATGTAGTTTCAGCAAAATAAAAATACTTAATTTTGATTTTTTTCTACTATTTCTAAATAAAAATTTGTTATTTAGTGTAGTCATTTGCACTCAGATTCTGAACAGTTCACCTGCAAGGTGATTTTTATATGAAGTATAAAAATACTATTTTTTATCTTACAGTTTTCACACTACATTAGCATAATCTCTAGAACCTCATAAATGAATATCAAAAGTTCTTTTTAGGTAAATGTTTTTTCCATTTTCTCTACTATATCACTAACTCTACCTATTATCGTCAACATATAGTGCAATGAAATGTTTAAGATTAAGAAATGGAAATACCTTTTAACTCTTCATAGAAGTCTTTTAAAAATTGTTTTTTAATACACATAATTTCACGCCTTTAATCTTCTTTTCCAATTTTTTGCCTTTTATTATTTATGCCGATACATCAACGGGGCTTTATTATTATTATTATATGGTGACTCCCATACAAAAACCCATTTCACTAATGCTTTGCACATGCAAATGATATCATCTTCACAATCCAGACACGAAGTAAACTTATAAAAATCATATATAATTTTCAAAACACAAATAATATACAATTGAGTAAAATATAAAAGTAAGACTTAAATATAATTAAACTGTCTCTCTAACTATAGCATATTTAAATAAGAAACCACCGTAAGTGTTATACTTGATCAAGTAGATGACAATACTAATGGCAGTAACATGCACACCATAAGGAAAACTGCATGCCAATTTCAAATTAACCGAGTATAGTGTAAACTGAGCTGTTTCTAATGACTATATACACTTGTGTCTACTATCTACATGTATGTTGTAGATCTCAAGCCAAAGTATAGAAGGTGGGCATGACAACCATCAAGGGTTGGAAAATTTATTTCTCTTTCCCATTGAATACAGTTCTAAGACATTGTATCTTACGTGTCAAAAGGGCACACAGATCTACACTATCAGCTATACACTCATCGACATTGCCAGCTTATGTGGCTAAGAGTGAACCTCTGCTAAAATCAAGACTTTTCATAGCGCGTGAATAACATGACATGAAAACTGCAGTTTTAAGTATTTTTAATATGTTTCCCTTGAAACTAAGAAATTAAAACTTAGATTAAAAATTCAAGTTATAACATACATTATAATGTTAATTTATTGATATATATTGATAATAAAGAGGTTTAATTAAATTTTGAATACAATTCAGTTACATATGCAAAACGGAATTTAAAAATGGCATTGGTAGTTATCGGGTTAAACTTGTACTGACTTCAAACATCTAACTTCACATCAGCTTACTACAATTAAACACATCCTGACTTTAAACATCTGATTTGAGATGGATTTGTACCACCATCTTAAACTTAACACAACTTAGTATCAATACACATATTGTGATACCTGATACCTAACTTCATATGAACTTAATATCCAGCTTTCTACTATCTTATCCTTAATAAATACATCCTGGTTTCAGACAACTATAACTTACCACCAATAAATATGACCCGACTCCAGACGAGCACAAGTAAAGAAAGAACACACATGTAAAGAACTGATTTTTTCTTGTTGTAATTCAGAAAAGGCTTGTGCACAATGCTCCAGTTTGGAAGAAACTGATAACAAGGTTTCATCCATCCATGTAGAAAGTTTTCCCGTTTCTGTTGCAACTGTTGCCCTAACACCACTAGCTGCAAGAAGCAAAATCTTCTCACCAACTAATCCCAAACTGATGGTTTTTGGATGAAAGATAGTGGGATTCTGAAAAATTACATAAAAAAATCAACTGAAGGTTAAAAATGTGTTATGTGAAGTAACTAACTAATATTACAAAATCTGACAGCTAAACAAATGAGAGATGTTTGAATTGTAGACAGAAAAATCAACTGAAGATATAAAAAAAAATGTCAATTAAAGTGTCTTAAAACAATATGAAAGTGATAGTTCAACAGAAAAAAAAAGATGGAGGGTTTTTTTAATGAAAATAAATTAAATATCAGCTGGTGCTAAAAACTATTCAATTAGTATCTCCAGATGTAAAAAATTCCACCTCTTTCTCTTCTAAATCAGTTCATCCTATAAGAGCAGAATAATTCACCTTCCTCTTCTAGATGAATATGCTAACTACCACTTACCTCTGGGTGCCTATATGGTTCTGGTTCACTCCACTTCCATTGATAAAGCTGACCAGTGGCACTCACAGCAATCAGTTCTGAATATATTGCTGCTATCTGGGTAAACTTGAGACCTGATTGCTCTGTTAGAAAGTTAAAAAACAATCCACATGAAACTTCAAAAAAAAATTTGACAAATATTTTAACAGCACAAGTCATCAACTTTAAATAGTTTTGTACTTTCATAATACTTTTTATAAATTTTTAGCATTTCACAAAACATATATATCATGATCGTAATTGCAGGAAAAATTTATAATTAACTTTTAAAATTATAAGGTGAATTGTTTTTGTTTGTTTTTCATTAAACTTTTTTCAATACACAGTGCCAGCCTTAGTCATTTCTGGGCAATATATAAGATATAAAAATTGGTGCCTATCATATTATTTGGAAATAAAAAATATGATGGAAATTGTCTCACAATACCATATTATACATTTTTTAATAGGTTATTAGTAATATTTTTGTGGTTCTTCAGCCTCATCTTTAAAAATCACAAATAAAAATATCAATGCAGTCCATCATAATGAGGGGCCATGGCAGCGGTCTTACTTGCCCTGCCTTAAGTCTAGCTCTGTCAGTACACAAGACGAATTTAATATTCTAAAACTAATTATACCTTAACCGATCAGAACACATGTTCTACAGCAAGATTTTAGATACAAAAACATTGAGAAACAGATATATGTAATATGATGGACTTGACCAATTCTTGATCTTCATCCTTGACCTAGAGGCCTATGAAGCTTTTATCCCAAATTGTTTTTGTTCAAACAAGTAAAAAAAGATGAGAAAGTTATCTCTCAAAGCAAAAGTTAACTTGAAAGATGCCATCTGTATTCATTTTTAAAATGTTCTACCTTATCTGGCCAATACTCAAGGTCATCACTTAACCATAATGGGTTACTATCGCCAACTTCACGTTTTTTGGTGTCCACAAGCCCAATGCTTTCCCCAACTTTGTCTGCTGCTCCACTGTCCCTTAATGCAGACTCTAACCAGCGTCGGGAACCTGAATACTGTCTCTCTCGAAGCCGAAACATGCTATCTCTGTCACGGTCTGGATCTCTCTCTCTCTCACCTCCTAAAGCCAACATAATTTCAATTATAATATATATAAGTATGTACTTTTGTAAAAAAAAAACATTTAATTGAAAATTTGGGATATTTAATAAAGCTTTCAAATAATCTTCACATTACATCAAGTTCATGCCTAATATTCAATACTTTAAAAATCGATGTTTCAGTGAACATTAAACAATATCAAGATTCAATTTCAGCACATGAACAACACTTACATTACATTCTAAAATTTCCAATATTTTAATTTCCTCCAAAAAAGTTCAAATATACTTTTAATTTCATCTATACTGTTTCACTTTTTTTTCTTTGGTACAAATTTGAACTTAACTTTCATTGTATATACTTATATTTTATTCAACTCTGTCATTCTCAAATGTTTAATTCTCTCTTTCTTATCAAAACATATAAAAAGAAATGTGTGTAAAAAAGAATAACATAAAAGAATAACACAATGCAATTCAATGCAACTGTAATAAAAAAGTCAGTCCTTTACCAGAGTACATCTAATCATAAAGTACATATGTATAGTAAAAATTGTTAACAATTTTACTAACTATTCTGTTTTATACCTGAGCGGCCTCTACTACCAGAACGACTTCTAAGACTGGAGTATCCAAACATGTCTTCTGGAGACATAGCTTCAGCATCAATGATTACACTTGGATGATCACTGTGGATACCTGCATCTAGAAGTGATATCAGGTCATCTGAAACAGAAATGTACCACAAAATAAGGTACAACAGTCAGTACTAATTTTCCACTATCAAGTGCTATCAGTTCATTAGATACAGATCACAAGACTAAAGTAATACATGCTGCAAATACTTTCCATTGTCAAATCACATTATATCTGACTGTGTTATGAACTGAATAATTTTTTAATTAAATAAGTTAAAAACAAAATAAAAAATTCCTAAAAACAAGCATCAAGTTTTTATTTCACTATCACAAAGTTCTATATATTAACTATAATATACTTACCCTTTAAAGACGGATCACGGGTGAAAGGCCATGTCATCACGTTTGTTGACTCGCATTCAAAATTTTATTGAACTACTATTTCATGAATTTATGTCAATAACTTTGGTATCAAACTGTAGATTATAATTCAAGTTTTAGTACTATATATTACTCAATTGCTTAATTTAAAAACACAGATAAACATTGATTTTCATGTTTCACGTGGTATGTTGAATGCAGCACTGGTTCAAATTAGATGTTTGTGAAGTCAAAATACTAAATCTATAGTTTCGTACGAATTAGAAATTAGACAAGCTAGAATATAAGAGCCTCTTATCTTTTCAATTTGCTAAGATATTACTCATGTAATAAATCAAACACAGTTGCACCCCGCCACCTCATTCCTTTTTTGGAAATGCTCCCTTATAAACACTTACTTCTATATATGGCATGAATAACCAATTGGAAGCTCAAAATGTCCCCCTAGTGGCTTTCTTAGCCATTTTAATGGGCTGAGCACCATTTCTTTCTTTTGAACCAATATTTCAACAAGGTAGGGTGTGTTTTTAGTCTGCCCAAAATTTCATATATTTTAAGAGTAAAATACATCTTAGTTAATAAGCTAGATAAATGATAATGGAATTCTATGGTAATTTAGTAATGTATGATTTTTTAGTTATTCAAATGAATATATAAACCTTAAAAAATTATTTTGCTTCATATGCTCCATATGCAAAATTTTTAAAGGCTTAGCAACCTACATCAAGCAGCAACCGAGTACAAAAGTCATAACTAGAAAATATAATTTTTTGTTTTACTTCTTCAGTTACTGTTCTATGTTTTAAGAAAAATAAGTTTGAGAACTTATTTCAAAATAGCAATAATCTATATACATATATAATATATAATAATAAAATGTGACTGTATTTTACAAAATCTAGTCCACTAAAACACAGACCAAGACAAATTACTTTGTATAGACTAAAGGCC